CCAGGTCGGGCCCGGGGAGCTGGGACACCGGCACCCCCCAAGCGGCTGCAGCCTCCCCTCAGGAGGCCTCTGTGAGCCTGGCCCAGGCAGCCACGGCCCCAGCCCTCTCCTCATCTGTGAAGTGGGGCCGACCAGGCCCAAGGACAGTGAGATGTCCAGCTCGAGCTGCAGAGCGAGCCTGAGGCCACCTGGGCACTTCCAGTCTCTCACTGCGGCCGCTGGGGCCCAGGTGAGGACTGCAGGGTGGGGACCCTCCCCTGCCAGTCACTCACACTGGGTCTCCTGTGTGGGCACCCCCAGGACAAGCCTCCCTGCCCCGGCCTGCCCACGCCCTGCACTCACTTTTCTGGAGGAGCCACCTGGGCGAGGCCACCAGCTCCAGAGGTGTCCAGGAGCCCTGAGGAGAAGAAGGGCTCAGCGTGGGAAGCCGCCCCACAGAAGGACCACAGTCCCGGCCTCAGTACCCAATGCCCGGGCAAGGGCAGGGCGCACCGGCAGTGTGCAGGCAGGTGAGGGACCCTCGGGCTGGGAGCCAACGGGCACCTCATTTTCTGCCCCAAAGCCCTGGCCACAATCAGCAGTGTAGGAAACCCTTAAGCACAAGTGGCTGGAGAGAAATGGAAGTCCCGGCCGGCCTGGGTGCAGCCTGTCTCTGAGGCCAGCTCTCCACCCTGCAGGCTTCACCCGCGCAAGCCCCGGGGGCGGCTTCCCAGCCCAACTGGGGGCCAGAGCGTGGGGGCGGGTGGAGGTCGGTACCTCTGGGGTCTTCCAAGCCCTCCGGAAGCTGGGCCTGAGAGCTCAGCTGCTCCGGGCCCGGGGAGCTAGGCCCGCCATGCTCATGCGCCTCCTGCCCAGGGCCTGCTATGCCCGCGTCTTCAGGAGCTGGGGTCTTTGCCCCCTCTTCTGTCACCAGCCTGGTGCTGCAAGTCCAGCGCAGGTCCTGGAGTGCTGGCCTCTTCACGGGGGGCTTCTGGGCACACTCGGTGTCCACGTCGGTGTCGCTGCTCTGGCTGGCCCAGCGTGAGCGGCGCTTGGTGCTCTGAGAGAGCGGAGCCGGCCGCTCAGGGGCACTGCTCTCGCCGGCAGGTCCCTCGGGGAGCGCGGCCAGGGCGTCCTCCTCCGTGTTCTTCAGCCGCACCGAGTGCAGCAGCCAGGGCCGGGCGAAGGCCGTGGCCACCAGGCGGATGGTGCTGCTGCCGACTTCCAGCACCTGGTTCCATGCCAGGAGGTCCTAGGACAGGTGGGAGGGTCCGTGTGGGCGCTGTCCCCCGCTGCCACACCAAGGTCCCCAGCAGGCAGCAAGCCCGGGACAGGGCCTGACTTCTGGCCCTGGACTCGAGGCCCAGGGAGCCTCTTCCCATTCCGGAATCGCACGGATGCTCACAGAACCAACCGGATGTGCGCCTCATGGGCACAGCCCGTCACCCATGCTGCAGAGTGCGCCAGGCTCCCTGCCTGCCACGCTCTCCCATGGGACCTGACACCCAGATTGTCCCAACAGAGTGGTCACTATTTCCATGCGGGTCTGGATAGCTGGGCGAGACAAGGGCCTGTCACCCTCTGATAGTCACGAGGGCCGGCCTGGGCTCTGCACCACCGCCTTGGGAAGCCCTCGTCCCTCTGGGCTCTGCTCACCTCCCAGGGCTGTGAACAATCAACTGCCACGTGGGCGGTGTTTCCTGCACTCCACCCTGGAGGGCCTCCAGCAGCCCCACCTGTCCTCGACTTCCCAGCCCCTGAGAATGACGGTCCAGGCCCTGTCCCCCACACAGGCTGTAACACGGCTCTCACTGACCCATGTCCCACCGCTAGGCTGCTGCGGACTGTGCAGGACATTGAGGTACAGGGGGCCTGCCTGTCACTGCAGGTTCAACGGCCCCTGAACTGGAGGAACAAGGCAGGTGGCAGGTAAGGTCAGGGGGACTCAGCCCAACCTGGGCAGAAGCAGCTGCTCAGGGCTCATCCCACTCTAACACTCAGGATAGGCTGATTTTAGGTGAAACAGCCTCATCTTTAAATACTGATGCTACTTCAATTTTTTGGCAGCAACTCACTGTCACAAACCCCACACTAAGGCCACCTGTAGTGGGCGGAGAGTAGGCTGCCCGGTGCCGCAGCTCACCTGGACGTAGTCTTGGAATGTCCTGGTGCCTGCTGTCTTCACCACGGCAGAGAACTGGCTGCTCAGCTTCTCCTTGTCAATCCCGAAGCAGCCGGCGGAGACCAGAGCCTGCCAGATCTCCTGGGAGGCAGACAGGTCCTCAGGGCTGTACCCAGAGAGCGCCCCCTGCTGGGCAAACTCCTCTGGGCTGAACATGTTTCCTGGGGGCTCCATCAGCCTAGTGAAGGAGTCGGGGAGGCAGGAGGTCCCCACGGTCAGCTCCTGCAGAGAGGGGTCTGCGAAGACCAGAGGAAGATCAGAATCAGCCTGCTGGAAGCCCTGCCCCAGGCTGAGGCCTGCCATCCAGCACCCGTGCTGCTCCCCGACAGGCACGAGGCTACCTTGGGGGACCCTGCACCCCTGACTGCAGCTCCCGACTGGAGCCCTGGCCTGTGCAGCACTTCTGGGGCCACCCCGCTCTGGAGGCTCTGTGCTGGCTGCCCCTGGGCGTGGGGAGAAGCCCCAGGCCTTGGCAACACATCGGTCTCTCCTACCTCGTGGCTTCTCTTACTGCCTACGGGAGGGTCTCTGCCAGGACCAGGTGCAGGTTCTCCCTACATTCCTGCCTGGCCCAAACTTCACACAAAGCACAGAGCTCAACCGTGGGTACAGATGGACAGCAAGGACCACGGACATCAGCTGTGGGTATGGAACGGAGAGGGTGCCGAGAAGGACAGGAGTATGGAGAAGGAGAGAGAGGCCTGCAGAGCAGGAAGGGCCCCTCCTGCTGCGGGCTGTGCAGGAGGGCAAGACCCCTGAAGCGGAGTGGAGGGAGGGGAGGGTTAAGTACCCTAGTTTCAAAGGTAATCAACAGAACAAAAAGGGATCTCATGTTGGAAGTAAAGGAAACAGGAAGCCACCAGCGTGAGCTCAATAGTCAGGCTTCATGGCAAGGGGTCTAAGATGACATTTAACCACTGTATCAATGCGCACACTCGGCCTGTAATCCCAGCATCCTGGGAGGCTGAGGCACGAGGATCCAAAGTCTGAGCTCAGCTGGGACAACTTAGCAAGACTTTCAAAATAAAAAAGACATAAAAGGCTCGAGGATGTAGCTCACTATGAAGGCCCTGGGTTTGATCCTCAATAGCACAAAAGTAATTAAGTAAATAATAAGAATAAAAATTAAAAAGCGCACTACTCCAGAATGCCCATGACAGCTGCCAAGGCTGACACAACAGGCAGGAAGGGGTCCCAGGGGGCGCAAGCCCAGGCCCAGGCCCAAGGGAGCTGTGGGCAGGGCCCCAACAGCAGCAGGTGGAGTGCAGTGCAGGGCGGGGCACGGGGCGAGGCTTCTGGCCGCAGCGCGGGGTGCACCCCGGCCGGGTGGGGGACACTCACCGGCAGGCCTGAGCCGCGTGTGCAGGGGCGTGCGGCGGAGGCGGAACTTCACCTGGCAGGAGTTCACCACCACGCTGTCGTTGGGGTTGAGGTTGCGCGTGCTCACGAGGCCAGGCACACAGCAGCCCCGCATCAGCAGGTACTTGGTGTGCGAGGCCTGGTGCGCCTTCACCTCCACACCCGCACGCTTGCCACCCGCGCCTTCCTCTAGGTCTTCCTCCTCGTCCTCCTCCTCGTCCAGGCCCCCATCCTTCCCCAGGCTGGGAAGAGAGCAGCACCGGGGGCTGGGGACAGCTCCTGCCCGCTCGGCCTGCCCAGCCCTCCCCCAGCTCCATGGATGGGTGGCTGCACCGGCCACAAGGCCCAAGGCGGTTTCACACCTGTCCAGCAGTGCCAGACACAGAGCAGCAGAACTGAGTGGAGAAGGCCGCACGACCAAGCAGGCGCCATCACAAGAGGAAATGATGGCACCGGGCCCGCCAGCCTCTGCCTCCAGGCGCTCACCTCTTCATGACCTCGCTCTCCACCATGGAACTGTCCACCACCAGGATCTGCTCTGGGATCCTGACATCCACGGAGATGAGGCCCAGGGACCAGAGGGTCAGGGCGGTCGCACAGTGTCCTCCGGGGCCGTCCATGGAGAACGCCACCATGCCGGCGGGGGGCTCACTATTATCCTGGTCTTTGAAGCAAAAAGGATCAGACTGGTCCAACCTGCCGGCATCCCGGAGTCTGTCAAAGAACTCGAACGATTCCGTGCAGACGGAGCTGGGAAATCGCCAGGTAAAAAGCCTACGTGAACAGAAACGCAGTCAGGGCCTGTGTGGGGCCGGCTCTGGGAGGGCACTGTGGGGTCACAGCACAGCCATGGCTGTGGGCAGAGCCGCACGCGCCTGGCGCCCTGGGCTGCTCTGTCCTGTGAGGAGAGCACCTGTCCTCCTCATCCCCACGTGGCCACAGGTCCCGGGTGGGGTCCTGGCTCCTCCTCCTGACCCCGAGCCCCACAGGCTCCTGCTGCAAACAGCTGGGGAGCTGGGGCAGATGAGTGTCCTCCGGGCCTGAGGGAGAGGACATGCGGCCTACCCACATGTCCAGAGGCCACCCGGGGCTGTGGGGAGGGAGCCGCCGGCCAGCGGGAAGGGGCCACACGGTTGGGAAATGTGCTCAGTGTCTGGGTCTCGCTGGATTGGTGGCGCCATCTCCCCCGAAGGAGCGGCAGTCTGGGGTTCTCAGGGTGAAGGTTTAGAAGGAAGCAAAGGGATGGGCAGAAGAACCCAGTCCCCCTGAATCTGCAGAGGGTCCCAGGCCGCAGTGTGGGGGCGGAGCAGGCTGGCAAGGCGACTCGACCTACAAGTCTGACAGGACTTCCTCTGTGGGAGGCCAGCGGGCCCATGGCACAAAATACTGAATGCGCAGGCAGACCAGCAGTGCCTACAGCGGGAGCCCCTCTGACTGAGGGCTCTGGCAGGAGGCTGCTCTGGCACCGCCCACCCCCGCCCTGAAGGCACAGGTGCTGCAGTGGCCCGAGGGGCTGTGGGAGGCTTCAGGGGCCTCTGAACCCAGAGACAGGACTGGCATCACGCGGGGCAGAGCTGGCCTCTGTCCCCCCACTGCTGAACCTGATACTGATTCTTCTGCACTTGGCAGGGGAGGGAAGACGCAGGTCCTGCTTTGCCGCGTCCCTAACACAAGCGGACACGGCCTGGGCCTGCACAAGCAGTGCAGTCCTCCCAGACCTGCATCTCGTGCCCCGGGTGGGGTGGTAGCCGGAAGATGCTCTCGGCAGAGGGTGCGGCTCAGCCCACGTGGACCCACCTGTAGTAGGACTGGGACAGCTGGTAGGACATGGGCACGAAGGGCAGGGCCCGGTTCTTCTTGGGGCCTGTGGTGTGGCTGACCCGGCGCCGATTGACCAGGCTCCTCTTCTGACACTCCATGAAGGCCCGCGCCAGCACCGGCTCCTTGTACTCGCGGTAGAGGCGGAACGTCTGCGAACAGCGTGAGCGGTGGGTGTGCACACATGGAAGCCGAGCGTGAGGCTCACAGGGAATCGGCTGATGGGGCTGGGAGGTGTGTGTGCGCGTGTGTGTAACTGGAAGAATCCCAGGGGGAACACAGGCGACAGGGGAGAAAGAAGGCGTTCATCCCAAGCTGGCCTCTCTGGAATCAGCACAGCCCCTGCCCTCTCAGCAACCACCAGCAGGTCAGGTTCCAACTGTTACAGCGCACGTCCAGATGTCCCCATAGCCTCACTCCTAAGTGGGGTTTGTGATCTGGATCGGCCCCTGGCTGGTTTATCATGGTTCTGGGTGTGGATGATGGATTCACCCTGGGTATGGGTGGCACCAAGTGGCCTGTAGCCTGGATTGAATAAACAGAAAAAGAAAGAAGTCTGCTGCTTCTGCCTGCCTGCCTGCCCTACCATAGACCATTTCTCCTCTGCAATGCCCCTCGGCCATGCCGCCCTGCCGTGGAGCCAGCTGACCGTGGACTCAAACCTCTACACACTATTAGACAAAATAAACCTTTCTTCCTTTTGTTCCAGCAACCAAAAGTAACTAAGACACCAATGCGTCTATGGTGTCACTATCTGGCCCATGCCACCCGTTTCTCACCACAGCCTCCCAGTCCTGGTCTCCCTGCTTCTCTGTGGGTCACCTCCCTGGCAGCCCGACCACTCCCCCAGCAGCCAAAGCAACCCTCTGCGTCGAAACCAGACCCGCTCTTTTCCTGCTTAGAAAGCCCCAGTGGCTTCCCTCCGCCACTTGACAACAGCCTACCCTTCTGAGGGCCCACAAGGAAAATGAGTGAGACAGTGAGCCACTCTGGCCCGGCCTCTGGCAGCTCCGCAGGCCTGCTAACTTTCGGGGAAAAGCTAAGGCCTCTTGCTGGGGTCCCCCCACCCATGATGCTCCCCAGATCTGGGCGTGGCTGACTCAGCTCAGGTGCCTCCTCTCAGGTCCCAACCCTGCCGGCCCTGCTCCTCTGCGGGCAGTGGCACTGTAGTCCCGTCCACACTGCCTGTGGGAGCAGTAAGCTCTCCTGCAGGCCCGGCAGAGTGCTCTGCAGGAGCGGTGCCTGCCTCGCGCTGCAGAGGCCCCTGTGTCACCACGCCACCCTGCCGTGCAGGTAGCTGAGTCTTGCGGACTTGGACTCTGCACGCAGGATGGCAGGGGAACCTGGCTCTCACTGGTTGCAGGACAGCCCCTCCCACACCATGGCCTCCCGAGTGCTGGCAGACAGCGGCTGCTGCCGTCTAAGCTTCAGGCTCAGAGGGCTCTCGGACGGACAGCACCACTCCAGGGCCTCAAGTGAGGTCCACGGATGTAAGGCAACACTGAGCTGTGCTGCCAGGCAGGGTGGCACCAGGGACAGCAGAGCGGCCTCGTCACGGAGGCACACGTCCCCAAACAGCAGCTGCCGTGGAGAGGCATGTGGGCCCCGTGGTGACCTGGGGAACCACAGTCACCCTCACTGCTCCAGAGGCCGGGCTGTCACGGGACTCTGCCCACAGCTCCTGGCGTGCGCAGCCCCCACCCTCCCCTTGGGCCGCATATGGGGAGCCTGGGGTCGCGCGGGCCTCTGACACCACTGAGGGCCTTTGGTCTTCCCGGCCAGCCCTGGTGTCTTTCCCATCCCTAAGCCCAGTCCTGGGCAGCCTCAGGAGCCAGGAAACCCCCGGACAGGGACTGGAGAAGCAGCCGCATGGCCCTGGGCCTGGCTTTTGCCATCGCCTGGTTGCAATCTATTCTCCTTCATCCTGGGCTGGATTCTTATGTGCAATGTTGGCAATACATTTTTAAAAACAGGTTTCTGTTGTTGTTTTCAGAGATAAGGTCTTGCTATGTTATTCAGGCCGGCCTCGAACTCATGGCGATCCTGCCTCGGCCACCCAAGTGTTGGGTTTACAGTGTGCACCACCACGCCCAGCTCTGTTGTTGTTTTCTTGTAAACCAGTGAGAGTCCAACAGAAATCCAGGCTCCAGACTGGGTCCACAGCTGTCCTTTGGGGATCACTGCCCCATCCTATCCCTGCTCGGGCTAACCAGGGCCCCACACCCTTTGGCTGCAAGGCACCCAGCACAGCGGCCTCCTCTTACTGACTGGAACGCTCACTTTGCCATGTGTAAAGCCTGCTCAAGAAAACACAGGGTTCAAGGGCTGCACAGAGATGGCGACAGTGGTCACCGGCCTCTGACTCGGGGTCCCAGGAAGCCCCGCTCCCAAGAGCTGGCCACACCTGATGGACGACAGCAGAAGCTCTGAGGTCAGGGCCAGGGCCAGGGGGCTAGAGCAGGGCAGCCAGCCTGGCTGTGCGTTTCCCTGACTCCCAGGCCTGGGAGGGGACGAGGTACCCACAGCCTGTGCGGGGACTCCTGGCCCTCAGGATGGGGGCTGTGGCAGACCCTTGTTGGGGCCCAGCCTCTCTTCCTGGCTGCTCCCAGCTCCCCGAGGCACCAACACTAGGACGCACCCACCCACCCACCCGCACTCACCAGTAAAAAAAAGCGTTTCCCTGACTCCCAGGCCTGGGAGGGGACGAGGTACCCACAGCCTGTGCGGGGACTCCTGGCCCTCAGGATGGGGGCTGTGGCAGACCCTTGTTGGGGCCCAGCCTCTCTTCCTGGCTGCTCCCAGCTCCCCGAGGCACCAACACTAGGACGCACCCACCCACCCACCCGCACTCACCAGTGGGGTCAGGAAGCCACCCCTCTGCTTGCTTCATGTTCTCCCCTCGTCCAACCCAGGCTGACAGAAGCCAGAGGAGCGGACCTGTAGGTCTTCAGATTAAATACGGCACAGCCCAAGTGCCAGGCCCTGCCTCGCTCCCATCCTCCTCAAACCTCTGGAGATGGACGATGCCCCTTGACCCCGCCGTGGCTCAGGCTCACGAGGTGTCAGAGGTGCCACAGCTCCCGGGCCACACTGCGTTCCCTCATCTGCTTAACTCTGTCTTAAATGGAAGACTTACGACCGCTGCTCTGGGAGGGGCTCTGGAGGCCACTGAACCCTGTGCCCCACACCCTAAGGACGACAGAAAGACGGGGTGACACTGGTCAAGGGCACTGAGCACCAGGCAAGCATGGCGATCACTCTGGAGATCCATCAGTGTACAGCATGTGGCTATTGCCAACAACAGGGACTGCGCGTCTGAAATGTGCCACGGCAGAGCCCGAGTTCTCTCCTTAGCAGAGGAAAAAGCTAACTGGTGGGACACAGCGCCTGGCCTCGTGTGGCCATCATTCCACATGCGCGCCAGACCATCCAGCTGCAGGCCTTGAACACGTAATACAAAGACAGATGGACCTAAAGCTAAACAAACCCCAAGGAGTAAGGACGCCAGGAGCAAGGGCCGGAGCCCAGTGCGGGGAGGGGAGGTGGATCCGTGAACGAGGGCCACTGGCCCTGGCCCCCGTGCTGAGGGACGCCGGGACCCACCTGGAAGGACTGGCAGGACCTCATCTGGCTGTTGGAGAGGGAGAGTGTGCTCTGGATCAGGTTCTGCAGCACCAGGAACTGGATGTCCTCCACGCTGAGAGAGAGGACAGGGCAGTGAGCTGCCGCCCTGGCACTGCTCATTTTGGGTGATCCTTGGTCGCAGAGTTCAGCCTCACAGAGGTGGCATGCACACCAGAGCCAACCCCCCAAGCACACACACACGAGGTTTTTTTGGTGGGTTCGGTAGGAACAGAGTCCTTCCAAGGGTGAGGGCTGAAGCAACCTGGAACCAGTTTCAGGACAGCTAGTGAAGGCAGGGAGTGCCCACGTTTTCCCCTCCTCTAAGCCTCAAAGAGGCTTTCCCCAAGGAGACCTATGCCCTTCTGAATCAGGCCGAGCGCTGATTATACAAAGTTGGGTAGAAACGGGGCCTGGGAGAGCTCTGCTCGCACAGCTTTTCCCTGCGGCACAGGCTCAGCCGTGGTACCTGAGGTCAGAGGGGGGCAAACTGTCCAGAGAGGACGGGATGTTGCAGACCTGGTCTTTGGGGGCTGAAGAGACCACAGAGCATGGGAGAAGCAGAGACCACGCAGGACGGCACGGCTGGGTCCTAACAAGACAACGTTTCCCCAACGGGGCAGGGCTGCCTCCACCCGGGATCACCCCACGTTCGCTGGAGGCAGGTACTGCACAGCAGCACTCACCTGTTCAGCTCGTCCTCTTTCCTCGTCCGGGATTTTTCATCTCCAATCGCTAAAACCCGGTACCTGCGTGAGAAAGAAGAAGGGCGTGCCAGGGGTACAGAGCCGAGCTCCCTCCACTCACTGAGCTCACTGGCGCCGGCTCCAGCTCCCCCTAAGCTGAACCCTGCGTGTACACGTATGTGCACACTGCGTGTCCCACCCTCCAAGCCAGCGGGCAGCAGGCCTGGCAGCATCCACGGAACACCGCTAACGGAGCAGAGGTAAAAACGGGCTGCGACTAAAAGACAAGTGCAAGAAAGGAGACGAAGAAAAGACCCCAAAACAACGCAAAAAGTCTGGTCATATCAGGGGTAAACAAGTGGTTAAGGGGAGGGGGACAAAGCCCAGCCTGGAGGTTCTGGGGATCTACGGCACTGCGTGGACCCGCAGCTCACGACAGACCGTGCGCTTCAGCACTGTCAAGAGAAGCGATTTCTAACGTTCCCGTCACAAAAATGTAAGTGGAAGGCTGATGGATGTTAATCAACTCGATCTGGTCTTTCTACGATGTAGACATACAGCACAGCACCCGAATGTGCCCCACACGTACATACATGCAATCGGTATTTGTCAGCTAAAAAACAAATATACAAACAAATGTCCCCGACACTGGCTTTATAAAGCGGTGGAATGGCAGAGTGGTTTTTCATCTCTTGACTTTCGCATAATATTGGACTGGATTCAACACAAGGAAATCATATCAGAGAGCTAACTTTTTAAAAAAACACAGCCACTTGTAAGGCTACTTACTTTTGGTTTCTAGCAAGCTGAAGTAAAAATTCATCTTTGCAATAGTAAGTCCCTAAAATACAGTGCTAAGAAAAGGCACCTTTTCTGAAAAATGTGTGAACTGCTTTCAGTTGAACAGGAAAAACACAGAGCCTTTTTCTCTTCTGCCCTGCCCTCCAGAATGGCTGGGATCAAATGAGCGCTGAGCTGTCACAACTACAACTTGTTCTTTCCTAAATGGCTGTGAGCGCTCCTTTGGAAACCTTTTCAAAACTGTCTTCTTTCTTTCTTTATTTTTTGGTACCAGGAAGTGAACTTGGGACCTTGTACTTGCCAGGCAGGTACGGCACTGCGGAGCTACATCCCTGGACAAAACTGTCTTCTTTGAGAACTAAACATTGCCCTAAATTTTACTGAAAATAGATGGGGGCGTAAATTACAAATAGGTAAGTGGCCTCTGAAAGGCCTCCACAGCGGACAGAAATCATGCCGCTTGGGAATTCTGCGCGGTGGTTTAACTGCAAAAACAAAGCCAAAACCTGGAGAACAGCCAAACGGCATCAATTGCAAAGTGACGCAAGTCACTCACTAGGCCTGACGCAGCGGACACCACCCACACACCCGCACACCCGTACACCCGCACACACGCCCTGCGCTGAAGGGACGGAAGAGCAAAGGCATATGCGGTCCACAGAAGCAACCGACCAGCGAGCCCCACCCCACTCAGAAGAATCTCAGAGGCATTGGGCCAGGGGTGGTGGGGAGCAGGGAGCCACAGTGGATGAAGCTGAGAACCTAAGGTTTAAACTGCAGAGTTGCGCTGAAATCCAAATACACCGGCCGGAATCTAAGGGGCTGAGCTCGAGGGACTGGGGTCTGGAGTCAGAGCCCCAGCTCACACCCTGGGCCCACGCCCCTCTATTGACAGCCTTAGAACACCCTCAGAGTGAGAAACTCAGCGAGAGGTCCACCTAGCGGACAAAGCCTGATGACAGCAGCAGAGGGACTCAGCAGGAGGAGGACTGTAAGGGGCCCAGGGAGCCCCGTGAGGTCAGCAGTCCCCGAGAGCCGCTGCAAAGCCATCGTGAGGCAGGGGTCACGGTCACAGCCAGCAGGCCTTGGCCTCCGGCCTGAGGACCAGGGGGACCCCGGAGAACCCACCTGGTGAACAGCTCCTGCATGGTGTCTGGGATGTCAAGGTTGGGGCACCTCAGCGCGGAACTGAACTTGTCTTTGAGCTTCTCCACAAATTCCTTAAACTCCTTGGCACAAACCTGCCCGAGAGAGGCGGACACTGAGCCACTCTTCTCGTGAAGATGGCTCAGAGACATCTGGTGACAAATGTCCACAGCAGCTATGCCAAAGAAGCACTGAGCCCGCTGCCCCTGCCTCCGTGTCCCCGAGACCAGGAAGGTCGCTGTCATGGGGAAGGCCGCGGCACACATGCATCAGGACATCGGGAGCCTGGAGCCTGGAGCCGCTGGGGTAACCACTCCGAGGCCTGCTCTCCTCTCCCCGGACACTTCCCGCACCTGCCTGGCAGGCCCATGCTGCCCTTGGCACCTCGCCTCCTAGGGCCAGGTCTCCTTGGGCACCCATGGGAGCTGGCCTCCTTCCCTCCCCGGGCCCCGCTGCCCTGGAGGACGCACACTGCCCCTCCTGCACCTGCTGCCTGTCCCAACCCAATCTCAGCCTGGCTCCTGCCGGCCTCGCACCCTCGCACCTCCCAACTCATCCACAGTGGCTGCTCTGATAAACAGCCTTGCCCATGTGGCGCCGCGCCGGGGCCCCAGAGCCGGTCCAGTGCCCTGGCCCTGCTGCATCTGCTCCCAGCGCATCATCCCCTCTCCCCTTGCAGCACTGAGCACCGAGACACCTCGGCCTGCCTGTTCCGGAGAGCAGTCAGCCGACTCAGCCAGGGAGATGGAGCCTCGCCCAGCCACACGGGGCCTGCCGGGAAAGACAGGCCCAGGGCAGCGCCTCTCCCCACTGCCGCCTGCCCTGAGATCCTGTGGCGAAGCCTCAGCTCTGGGAGTCACCTGCAGTGCCGGGTGACTGGTATAGGATGGATCGGTGACCACTAAGGACGGACAGTGACAGAATGAACTGGGCACCTGGTGACGCCCCCACTTTGCTGCAATGGCCCGTGGGCGGCACTGCCACCTCCCAACTGCTTGGCACACAGGGAAAGCCAAGTCCTAGGCCACCGTGAGGCTGAGGCTGTGTGTTGCTTGCACCTGAGCGTGTTCTGGATCCCCCTGGCTGATCCCACAGACCTGTGCCTTCCCCACAGGAGCCGGCTACTTCCCTGCTGGCCCCAGCTCCCCTTGGCTCCCTCACAGGGAGGCTACAGGCCTGGCCCACGTGCAGCAGAGCCAGGCCGGCTCTGGGAGTGAGGGCCGCAGCAGAGCTTCCTTCCCTGTCAGCCACCGTGCGACAGCAAGCTCAGGAAGCAGCTCTCCAGGAAGTGTGGCTGCTTGGAACTTCTACACAGCTCTTATTTTCTCAGCAAAATGGGCCCGAAGCGCAGCAGTGGAGTGTCAGAGAAAGTAGCCAAGTGGCACATCAGAGTCAGCTGTCAGCTTCTTTAGAAACAGATGCTTAGAGCCAGGTCCAATGATGTGCAAAGCCAAAGGACTGACACACGGATTTCCCAAATAAACAGGAGAAGCATCCGTGTTTTGGGCTGGCAAAGGCACTGGGAACCCCAAGGACCCAGCCAGCACCTCAGCACCAGCTTTCAGAGCAGGCGGAGCAGCTCCTGCAGGGGGCCTACCTTTGGGTCCTCGTAGTCACACTTCCGGTTCATGAAATCGCCAACCAGGGCTTTATCCTGGTACACCTCAGCCAGGCAAACCCTGTGGAGGAAGAGACAGAGGAAGCCCGAGTCACAATGTGCCGGATTCTGATGCCAGGAGACCTCTGTCCAGCACATAGTCCTTGGCTGGCTGTGCCATCTCCTTACGCCTGCTGGATGACTGCAGCTTTGGGGTGAGCCGAGCCTGAAAGAAGACTGGTTGGTCCCTGCTCACCCCTCACCCTGGGGCTTCTCCAAGTCTGTCTCCCGAGAACATCAGCCTTCTCCGTCCCCTGGCTTAATGGCTTCGGCCAGACCAAAGCAGGTGTGTGCATGAGCGCAAGTGTTAAAATGCACCCAGGAATGGGGCTTGTTGTCCCTCCCAGTACTTCTCCCCGAGCAGCACTGTCATCCATTTAACAGCTTAGGGGGTAAAGAGACCTGCTGAGGCCACACCCCAAGGCTGGGGTGGCAGGACAGGTGTGGCTGTGCTCAGCATCACCTGCTTCCCTGGTTTGGAGACAGCAAATCCTCCTGCAGTGCCCGGCCCAGGACAGTCCTGAGGAGGAAGTCAGGGCCTCTAACTCTGGGGCCCTCTGCGTGACTGCTGGGGAAGAGCAAGGCCGTCCGTTCTGCGTCATCACTACCAGGCCGAGTTGCTGTCACCTGCCCCCGGCCCCGGCTTGTGTCCCCCAGGAAGACAGTGTAGCTCAGGGAAACTCTAGGTTCTTTCAGACAGACGGGAAAGTTGAGCATCCGGGCCCTGGGGAGGCAGCTCGGCTGGGAGGCCCCGCCCTCCTCGGGCAGTTCCGCTCTGCAGGGGCAGTCACCGGGATGCGGAGGGGGCCGCCAGATCCACAGCGGGGCCAACGCAGACCCCTTGCGTTGAGCTGGCTCCTCCCCAGCCTGGCTGGGCCCATCCCACTCAGGTCTGGCTAGTGCAGGAGTGCGTGGCCTGGAGCTGGCACAGGCCGGTGCCCTGCAGCCCCACACCCCCACAGCTGCACGCCGAGCCCCTCCCCACACTCTCTGTCCTCACTCAGGTCCTCCTGTGGAGGGAACTGCAGGAGTGGTCCAGGGGGCCGGCAGTGCACTCCCAACACGCGTGGATGCTGCTCAGGGCCCTGCAGTCCGGAGCCTGCCTCTTTCTCTACTCCACACAGGTTCTCTGAAGTCCAGAATCACACCTGGCCCTTGACCGATCGAAGATGACCCCAGGCGAACTCCAGCAGCGTCATCCCATTTCCCATCACTGAAGGTGAGCAAGCTCAGGCACAGGAGGAGGAAAGGGCTGGAGCAGCTGGGACAGCCGTGCAGCGGGAGCCTTACTTGTAGTTCAGATAGGCCTGCGGGTTTCTGACAATGTAGCGGGCTCTTCGTCCCACTGAGTGCGATGTTTTGTCCAGGGACTCTTCAAAGGTGGCATGCAAGATGTCCCGCACGACCTGCCAGGGGACGAACGGGCCCTTCACCTGTGGAGACAACAAGGGAAGAAAGTCACCGTCCATGGGGCCTGTGTGCGGGGCACAAATGGAGGACATGTGTCCTACCGAGCTCTTCCTCAGAGCTGTCCCTCCCGGAGAAGCACAGGACACTGCTCAGAGGCTTTTCCTTCCTTAGGCAGGGCCACCCTGCACCGCACCTCACAGCACATTGTAGAGAGAACGACCCACAGCAGATCCTGAACACCTCAGAAAGCAACACACAGGCAGGTGCTCAAGGGTGGGAGATGTTCGCCATGGCCCAAAAGCAAGAGGAGCCCGCAGGACGGAGCAAGCTGGCGGCTAGAGTGGGCTGTGGAGACCCCTCCGGGGCACCAGATAGAATCGGGGCACCATGGTCACCATGCAGGTTTTCCCTAGAGAGGGTGGCGTCGGGGTGAGAGGGACAAAGGGGCCGGGACGGGACCCAGAGGCCTGCAGGCACTGAGCATCTTGGGCCTCACACAGATGCCTAGCCTACTCCGCCCGGCTGCTGATGGCCTGGAGGGCCTGGGACGGGACAGTGGTAGAGCCCTTGCGCCGCTGGCCTCTGTGAAGCAGTCTGGTCAGACACCTGTCCATACCCTGCTGCAGCGTGAGGCAACCAGGGCAGCAACAAGGGAGAGAATGCAGGACCAGTCAGGGTCACACAGTGACACTGGGGGAGAAAGGGCTGGGCTGCGGAATCTCAGTGACGCCAGGAAGCGTTCAGTAGACAGAGGGCCAAGTCGCCCCCATGGCCTGTGACCCGCACACTGGTGGGAAGGGCAGGCGAGTGGGGGGCTGTGGTGGGGAAGGCAGGTGAATGCCCGCCACCAGTCCACATGGAGTCAACCTCTAAGGGGGAAGGGTGGTGCCTGGGGACAAGCGTCTCTGTCATAAGGAGCAACCAGAAGCAAGAGTCCAGGGGACAGCGGGAGACCAGGCAGCCACTCTCCCTAGGAGGGTCAGTGGAGTCCTCCTGACGTGACAAGCAGCTCTGAAACACAGTGCGTTTTCCAGGCAGTGAGGGAAGAGGAGGGGAAAAGGAAAGGGTTAGGTTCCCAGGGAGACAACAGCGCTGAGCTGTTTTGCCAGGAGCTAGGCAGGAACCCGGATGTACTGAGCTAAGGCTGGGGAGAGGTCAGCTGGGCACGGTGTGGTCTGGGAAGCACCTGGCGATGAGACAAGGGCCCCAGGAGCCCCAGGTACCTTGGAATTGAGAACATTGCTGGCGATGCGGCAGAGCACGAGCAGCCCATCCTCCTGCGTGGACCAGGACACGCGCAGCCGGGTCATCCTCCGCAGGGCGCTCTGGTCGGCCTCGTCGTGGTAGCGTGGCCTTTTGTTTTTGGCTCCGGGCAGCTCCTCTAGAATCACCAAGGGGAGAGCAGAGGAGCCCTCCGACAGCTGCCCTGGAGCTGCCCCGCGGAGAGTGGAGGCCCCAGCGGTCAGCCTCAGCCAAGCACACGCTACCAGGTCCTTACTGCGCCCACCGTCGCCCCTCAGGACCGGGAAGACGCGTTCGCGGCCCCTGGTGGGCTTCCTCCTGTCCCACTGCACACTGGCTAGGCTGCGGGGTGACGGTGGGCAGCCTGAGCGTGGGCTCCAGCTGCCTGCCCGATCCAGTGGCTCCCCAAGGGGTTACATCCTTGGAGGGTGCCTTACAGACACCCAGACATCTGCTGACCGAGAGAGACAAGGCTGCTGCCCCATGCTGCAGGAGCCCTGGGAGGCGACGAGCTCTGTGGCCCAGGGGACAATGCGTCCTCTGCCTGGCACTGAATGAGTGGGTGCAAAACACCTACTGTGGTCCCTGGCACGAAGGAGCGGCCAATGCATAACAGCAGCCAGCAGCACTACGGGACGTTCGCTGTGCCAGCGCAGGCTCAGGCCTTCTGCACACATGCGCATCCACACACAGACTGCTCAGTCCTCGGGAGCAGCCTCACGGGACCCCCACCCCCTCACAGATGTGGGAGCCACACCCGAGCCCTCAGCCAGGGGCTTCCCAGGACCTCCCCACACAGCACGGGCAACTCCTGCCGCGTTAGTGTTCCCAAAAGAGACAGACGCCGTGAGGTAGGGAAATAGGATTTGAGATGACCCCCGTGTCTGGGCTACAGCAGCCCCACACATATCGGCCGTGGCCTAGCGAGGGAGGCTGCTGACCCGGATGGAGTGAGGTGTTAGCCACTGGCCAACAGACCACAAAGCAGGTTTCTACGTAAGTGCTATTTCCTCTGATGAAGTGCCAAAGCCATTCAACTCTCCAGACACTGACATCCAAAGCACCCTGGGTCCTCTGCTTAAGTACTGCTCAGGAAGCCAGGCGTGGGAGGCACGCCCGTGACTCCAGCACCTGGGAGGCTGAGGCGGGAAGATGTGATGACGCCACATGGCAGATGAAAGGTGCACGTGGGGCTGCGTCAGTCTGAAGAGACAGCGCAGGCCCAGACGACACCCAGCTTTGCGGCGAGGCACTGAGGACTTCTCAGCTGACAGCTAGAAATCTGAGCAGGGAAGCTTGAGGCTGCACAAGGTCCTGCCTGGACTGGGCACAGGGGACCTGCGTCTGCGCACGGAGCCGACTCTGACTGTGGAGAAACTCACACCTGTGGCCCGCACCAACCTTTCCTCCTCCGCTTGGTCCTCTTGCCCGGCTCCTTCCTCAGCCGCTTTCGCTTCTGGTTTCTGCCGCCCTTGACCCTGCGGTTTCGGCCTAGCGTGGGCTCCCGCTCCATCCCGAACTGCTCCCGCTGGGCGGGGAGCTCGCTGCCTGCCTTTGCTTCCCCCCACAGGGCCACCCTGCTACCGCCTGGGGAGAAGCACAGGACAGGCGTCTCGTGAGAGCTCTGCAAAGGCCCATGGAGCCGAGCACGAGGTGCCGCACCACCCTGGCCCTGAAGTCCCCAGCTGCGCGACGGTGGGTGCCCAGGACACTGACCTGCAGCTCCGAGAGGCAGGGGGCGCTTGGACAGGAACGTCTGTAGTCTCACGGTGAGCCCATTCTCCGCGGTGACGCTCTCCTAAGATGAAAGCAGCACGGGGTGAGGAGCGGCATCCACAGCCCTGGCAGCCGCCTCCCCAGCCAGTCCCACACGTGGCCCTCTCAGAGGGCTTTTCTGTAGGAGTACCTGTCCGTGGCACCGAATAAAACAGAACCCACTGGGACAGAAGTGAGCCGGGCAGACACTTGTGGGTCCTGCCTGATGTGCCCTCAGGGTGAACGTAAGCAAACGTTCAGGCCTCTGGTCAGCTTTGCTTTTATGAACTCAGAAGTCACGTGCCGGAAAGGGACAGGATGATGGTGGTGGTGACAACAGCCCGTGGTCCCCAAGCCCACCTTTCTGGCTTTGTTGATGATGTAGCTGGTCCAGATCCAATTGCGTTTCAGGTGTGCATAGAAACTGGAATCGAGCCCAGCGGCTCCCAGCCCGTCGCCAGGGATGTGGCCTTCATCCACCACCTCACGGCTGCCCCTGAAAGAGGGGAACAGAGCCACAGGGTGGGGGTGGGCGTCTACTTCCTGCATCGCCAGCATCTACCTCCCAGAATGATACCCAGCAGGGAGAAATGAGAAATTCGGAGCAGTGCTGGCAGGCTGCCACTGCTTCACAAGCTAAAAAATAAAAAAATCCAGAGTTTTCCCCAACTTCTAAATTTTGACCAAAAAAGTGTTGGAATTTTAAAAGACAAAGACAAGTGAACCAGGTGTGGGGGTGCACACCTGTAATCCTAGTACTCTGGGGGCCCGAGGTGGGAGGGTTGTAAGTCTGAGCCTAGCCCAGGCAACTTAACAAAACCCTGTCTTAAAATAGCAAAAGGGGTGGGCCGAGGACTCAGCTTAGTGGCACCTCTTGGGCCTCAGGTCACGAGTTTGACCCCTGATACAAAAAAGCAAGTAAGTAAATAACAAAAGGGGGCTGGGATGTAGCTGAGGCCCTGGGTTAAGCCCAGTACCAAAAGTAATACATCCATACATAAGATAAAAGGGAGCTAAACAAAGCACGTCTAGGGTGAGCGAGGTAGGACCAGCAGCCTGCCCTGGCCAGCGTGGGCCTTTCCGGTCTGGGAAACGGGCACGCACGTGGTGTACTCCTGCATGGCGCTTTTCCGCTCCAGGTTGTGCTTGTCCACGGCGGTCTCCTGCTCCTTTCGCAGGCTGCCCTCCTCGTCACTGCCCTGTTCCGTGCTGTTCTTCGGGACACCCAGGCAGCGCACGACACCTAGGACCGAGGCAAACCAAGCTCGGGTGACAAGGTGGGGAGCGGTGGCTCTGGTTGCAGGCCAATGAGAGGAGTGGCAGCCAGGCTGTGGAAACGCTTCCTCCAGACACCAGGGAGGCCCAGGCAGGCAGCAGGCAGAGTGAGGGAGGCCCCTGTGGCGGGGGCGGGCCAGCAGGGCAGCGACGATGACACCCAGCGGTGGTGTCGGGGTCAGGGAGGAAGCAATCTGGACAAGCTGAGCACCCGCCTACTTCTCCAGCCCCTCTCAGCTCCTGGAGTAGCCCGGCACTTCCCAAGCTCAAGAGGGTGCAACGCTGGACTTGAGGAGGCACGGGCAGTCATTCACAACAAAGGAAATTACATTTCTTGCACAATGGTATCAAACACAGCTGGCTGTGGCCTGAGCTGGTGAGGGAAGGTCATGGACCAGGGCGGCCTGCTCAAGGCCTCTCCGGTGAGACGGTTCCACGGCTGCCTTCCCCGCTGGAAACTGTACCTGACCCTTGCTTGGCTTTCCCTGCAGCCCTGAACGGTGGTGGAGGCATTCATGGCTTCGAAACAAAGAAACTAAGGCCAGGGGAGGCCACAGAGCTCGCCCAAGGCCACCACCCAACCTGAGCACCTCCACACATCAATCACAACGAACGGTGGTGGAGGCATTCATGGCTTCGAAACAAAGAAACTAAGGCCAGGGGGAGGCCACAGAGCTCGCCCAAGGCCACCACCCAACCTGAGCACCTCCACACATCAATCACAGGTGCTCAGCAATCAGCATCCCCACCCGCTCCCCGCTGACTCCTGCACAAGCCCGCGTTCCGCAGTGTGCCGCACAACACGACCATGCCCCGATTTACACTGCTTTCCCCCACCCCTTGGGGCAGAAGCCCTTCAGATGTGTGGTGGCTGAAGCCATCAACATCGCTGCTCATGAACGTCGAAAGGGATAGGCATTCACCAGCTGCCAGGCCTGAAAACTGACGCACATTACATGCTGGGCTCACAAGTTTTTATCTAGGTATAAAATATGAAGGAATTAGGGCACTTCTGACATCTAGAATAGTAAAAGACTGGGGCTCTAAGAAGCGCACTACTAAACCTTGTCCGCAGCCCTGAATGCAAGGGCCTGTTACCCTGTGGCACTGAACTCTCCCAAATAAACAAGTGACAGCTGCTCTGCAAAAACCAAAGTGCAGTCATGATCTTGCAGCTCTGTGCCAGGGGTAACAGGACATGAGTCCTCTTGCAGGTGCACACCGCATGTGGCGTGCATCCTCCTCCTGCTGGCAGGGCCAGGCCAGGGCGGATGAAGAAGGGAGCGGCTCAGAAGAATCGCCTTGGAGGCTGTGACCCACCACTTCCCACAGGCCCAGCGCTCACTCAGTGGCACCTGCAGGGCGTCAGCTGTGGGCTGCATGCCCTGGGGCACTCGGGAAGTGGGGAAGCCACTGATCAAAGTACGGTAAGTCCAGACAGGCTTTCCCAGCAGTATGGCATGAAGCAGGAGTGCTCAGCACAGTGCAGGGTAGTGATGTGAGCTCAGCCGTCAGCACCCAGGTCCTTGCTTCTTTCTCCAAACTCTCCGAACCTCCCCTCCCTCCCTCTTCACAGGCACAGGCAGACAGCTCTCGGATGTGCGTCACAGTCCCTCGCTGGGCTCCCTGCTTCCGCTCTGTGCCCAGTCCACTCTCCACGGCAGCCAGGAAGAGCTAAGAGCTGCACCATGTGGGGACCCTGTGTTCACAACCTCCCATGGCTTCTCACTGCTCTTCAAACAGCCCGACTCTTCACTGTTCCCGCCAGGTCCCCCAAGTCCCGACTCACTCTCCCCAATATGCCCTTGGGGCCTTTGCATGTGCTACTGCCTGTCTGCAGTGCCCCTTCCCATCCCTGCAGGGCTCAGCACAAAGGAAAGGCCGCTGGCACACACCCCATTCAACTGCCCTGAAGCAGACATCCCTGGGGGCTGCCCCACAGCATGCATTGCACGCCTGGGGTCTGCTGAGCTGTGTTACTTGGGCAGGGACAGGCTGTATTCCTATCACTGAGCAGCCAGGCGCAGGAAACGGCGCAGCAGGAGCTTGGGTAAGACCTGCTCAGCAAGCCCACGAATGAAGGCAAAGTGATTGCCCGTAACTGGGCAGGGACCCCCAGAGTCCCCCAGCTGCAAAGCCATCATTCTTCTAGGGGATCCTAGGCCTGGGAGCAGCCTGAAAATCCCTCTACTGAGTGACTTCCAGCTCCCGCAGATCACACGGCAGGGAGGAGCCTGCAGGGCCTAGCAGGACGATGGTACCTAGTGGGGTGTTGAGGCAGACACACTGCAGATCAAACCAGTAGCTCTCCACGTCCTGCATGGAGTTCAGCACGTAGAGCCGCCTCTCGAAGGGCCGGCTGCTGTGGGCCAGGTTGTAATGGGGGTCACAGATGGTGGTGTCGATGATGACGGCGTTTTTCTTCAGGAAGACGAAGACCTGCGGGAGACACCAGTGGGGAGAGGCACCCAGGGGTCAAGGCGGGGCCGGCGGTTGGGCCCCCATCCTCTGGCTGATGCCTTACCTGGTCCTTGTCCTGGAACTTCTCCGTGGGGCCGAACTGAAGCAGCCCCATGTAGCACAGCCTCTGCAGGCTCTCCATCACCGAGAAGACATACCGCCTGCAACAGAGCGGGGCTGGTCAGGGCCAGCGGACACGGTGACCCATGCTGACAGCTGGCTTCGGAAAGCGAACGGAAGGACAGAAGAGCCGACGAGACAGGATGTGCCGGCGACGGCAGCCTTGGCAGCAGACTGCACCTGACTTGTTACTCAGAGCCCAGTGGCACAATGTGCTGGTTTGTATGCTGCTGGCTAAACGCTGCAGGTGCCCTTTCCTCTTCCCGGAGGGGGAGTAAGCACTGAGCCTGGCCACTGGGGCTTAGCATGGCCAGGGCCTCCTCACCTCTTGTACAGGAGCTGCTGCCGGATGGCCCTGGGCAGGAAGCGGATGAGCGTGTGCTGCTTCAGAGGGTGGTTCAGGTACTCCTCCAGGCCTTCCACCTGCGGGGCGGGCGAGGGCGGGCTCCCTCAGCCAGGGCGGGAGCGGCAGGAGCTCCCGGAAAACAAACACCGCAGCACCCGGGACATACACACACACACACACACACACACACTGCTAACACTGCCCAGAGGCAGGAGGAGAATTTATCTACTTATATTAAAAGGAAAAAAAAAAAAACTGAAGACATTTATTACCCTTGAAGCTAAATACTCTACTTCTATCTTGACCTAAGTAAACTATGGAAATATTTCATATCATATTTTAAAATAATGCTGTGGAAACTATGATTATTTTATTCAGTGGAAACAGATAAGAGTAAATATAATCTCAATTGTTTTCTTAAAAAGAGATTTTACACACACGCGCACGCACACACACACACACACACACACACACACAGTACGGTAGTAAAGTTTAAAAGAAAATGTACCAAAAACAACATTACCAGTGATTATCACTCTGAGTGATTAGATTATGGGTAACTCCTATTTTTTCCTTTTTCTAATGTTTACAAAATTCCTTAAAAAAAAAAAACAAACAAACAGCGCTGGGCATGGTGGTGCACACCTGTAATCCCAGCACTTGGGAGGCTGAGGCAGGAGGAGGATCACTGTGAGTTCGAGACCAGCCTGGGCTACACAGTGAGTTCCAGGTCAGTCTCAACTACATAGTGAGACCCTGTCTCAAAAAACCAAAAAAAAAAAACAAAAAACCCAAAAAAAGAGAAACAAGAAAAGCAAACCTATGTTTTACTGTTACAGCAGACCTGCCTACATACTAGGCGCCCAGCGTCCTGCCTTCCCCACCTGCCCGGCCCAGAAGAGTGAGTGCCTCAAGGGTCCGCTGACCGAGCAGCCGCCCACCTTTCCTCTTTCCATCCTGCTCCCTCTTACCAGCGCTAACCTCCTCTGATTCGGCCCCGTCTAGAAGAGTAAGTGGCCTGTACCCGTGGCTGCTCCCGCACCCCGGGGGTCCCCGTACCTTGTAGCTGACTTGCACGATCTGGACAAAGATGGAAAGGGGCAGCGAGAGGAGGATGTCGCTGACGAGCGCCCAGCCAAAGCCGAAGTCGCGGTGGACGGGGACAGGCGGGATGAAGCGCATCCAGGAGGCGTCGTCCACGTACACTAGGAGAGCAGCCAGTCACCCCAGCAGGGGACCGCCGGGGTGAGATCTTCCCCTCACAGGACACTCCCAGAGCAAGGGGCCAAACCCTACTGTCACCAGGCAGAACCCAGGCTTGGGTCCATTTCCCGCGGAGAAGGCTTGGGGATACAGGCCGCACAGGTGCTCCTCTCTGGGACCCCACGGACCTCTGCCTGGGGCAGGCCCAGGTGTCTCACCTGTCTCTGTGGACAGCTCCACCTCAGTCTCCCAGGTGACACCGTCTGGATTGTCCCTGCGATCCGAGGCCTCCCAGTCACCCCTGGAGTTCCTGCCGCCTCTCCTTTCCCCGCTGTACAACACTGGCTTCTCCACCACATAGCAGCCAGGGTGCCCGTAGATCAGGTACCACAGGAACGTGTGCACCACCCGCAGGCGAGGCATCTTGGGCAGGAACCCGAGGGAGCGCCCGAGGCCCGGGACTGAGGCAAGAAGGGGACAGGCAGCACGTGAGGCATCCAAAGGATGGCACAGAGCGGCACTGTGCCCAGGGGCAGGGACAGGGTTAGCAAATATTCTCACAGCTTTCAGACTACTTTCTAGTTGGTGAGGACAAAGATAATAACACCTGAAATAGCACATCACACGGAGACTGCTGGTGCAGGAAAAGCAAAGCAGGGCAGACGGCTGTGACTCCAGAGGCTGGGACAGGCCACCCTGATGCAGGCCTAGGAGCCGTGCCCTGCAGACACTGGGCACGGGTGTCCCGGACAAATGAGAGGACCTCTGAGGGTCCCTGCCTGGCACACTTGGAGGCCGGGCAGGAAGCCAAGTGTGACAGAGAAGGGGGGCCGTGGAGGGCCCAGGGTGAGGGCTTCTGGCACGACACGGACTGCGCCAAACACCCCTGTCGCAGTTCTCTTAAGAAATGCATTTCCTGGTTAACACAAACAACTGTGCCCTGAGTCTCCCCAGTGACACAGGGGGGCGCGGGGCTCACTGTGTGCTGCTCGGCTGTGACCCGCACTTCCTAACTGGGAAACCCGCAGCATGCGGGCCTTGGGAAGGGAAGCCACACAAAGCTTCTGGCTCAGGCTCCCGGGTCTGCCGTGTCTCGTGCAGAGAAGCAGCTGGCCTCCCTGCTGCCTGGCACACACACAGGTTCACCCTGGAGCAGTGAGGTGGGGGTGAGGGAGGGGTCCTGGAGAACTCGGGATAGTGGGAGAGGTTCTGTGGGCTGCGGACAGGGGAGGTTTTCTGGGACTCATGAGGTGGCCTGGCTCACAGGTACCGAGCAGCAGGAGTTCATCTCCATACAGCAGCCCTCACCGTGGGACCTAGCATCACTTCACCCTTGTTCCTCCATGCCCTGTGAGTCTGCAGGACGGAGAGGAACATGTGAGCCGCCCCACACAACCTGCCAGCAGCCCCGGCCTGAAGCCCAGGGTTCAGACGCAGCAGGACCCCAGTGACTCATGCATCAGCAAGCAAACAGCAAGCTCCACACACTCCAACACAGGCAGAGTTGCTGCCTACCTACAACAGGGTGGTAATTTTTCATCGGGGTTACGCCCATCTTCTCATCGGTCTTTTTAGCCCGCCCACTCTCTGGCTTGGAGGAAGCGTTCATGTCAGGGTCTCCTGATCTGCTTGGTTCCTCTTGTCCTTGACTTTCTTCTTCTACCTCCTCTGGGGGTGCTGGAGGCTGAGGAGCCTTCCCCCTGCAGTCCAAGCACAAAATGTGACCACACATGCGGCAAACCCTGGGCTGGGCCCAGGATAGGGGTGGGGTGCGGTGGGTTCAAATCCAGTGGCCCCCAGGCTCAGGCAGACCATGCACGGAAGCAAAGTGGATGTCAGTCAGTAAGCCCTGTGGGGCGGTGGGAGACAGCCCACCTTTAGCGATGTCAGAAGTCAGAAACTTTGGCAGAAACTCATCAGCAACTGCTTCACAGTCTACGTGGCCAATGCACATCTGGCAACACAAGCCAGGACCACCTCCCCTTTAGGTCTGGCTGAGAGCTCCTTCCTGCCACCAGCAGGCTGCCTCCTGGCCCAGCAGGAGGCTTACAAGCTAAATTAGACAAGAGCTCAGGAAGCCAAGAAGAATCATCCCGGGCCGTTATGAGGCTGAGTTCCAGCATCACGGGCCTGTGATGGGAATGCTCTTAACACACTTCTCATACAGACTAGAATTAAGAACACAGGGATTTGTTCTGCTTAAAGGATCGAGAAATTGGCCCTTCTTTAGATGGGGGGATGAGCCACATGGCCTTAACCAGGAAGTGCTTTCCTGCCTCAGCACAGGGGTGGTGAAGATGGCTTCAGGCTGCAGCCTCACCGCGGGTTCCCCTTCCACTTACTTACCTGTTTGCCGTGCTTGAATTGGAGATCCGGAAGCGGACCTGCTCGATGGCGCTTCTCACAAGAGGGTCGTTCTGGTCCATGGACGGGTGCACAACCAGATCCACCTGTAGGGAAAGGCGGGGCACCCCGGAGGGCAGAGCTCAGGGAGCTGCAGCCCCAGAGGCAGGTTCCTTAGTGGAATGGCATCACAACCCACAAGCAACATCATCAGGACCTGCAGACGCCTCTGCCCTATGGCTCCCCAGCTGGGCCGTCACAGCCCACTGGGCTCCTGGGGGCCACTACCCACACCTGCCCCACCGCCACTACGGAGTCCTCTGGACGTCCACCTGCCCATCACTGGAAAGTCGGGGGCTTTCCCCTCCTCTCCCAGCTGAGAAGTGCTGTGGGGTTCCCACCCGCCACACCTCAACAAACTGGCAGAGGACCAAGAACTGCTTGGTCTCTCCCTCCCTGGGAACCGAGGCAGAACCGTTCAGGTGGCTCCTGGCTCATGTGAGCCTGGGATGAACCAAGGAAAGTGACAGCAGAGAGGAGCCAGGGAGGGGAAGGGGCAGCAGGCTGTGGGTGTCGAGGATGGTGGTCTGCCCGGTCCCTGGAGAACCAAGGCTTTTTGCGGGGGCAAAAGACAGCAAAGCAGGATTTCCTGGGTGTTAGCCCTGGCTAGCAACTCTGTGGCCAAAATTGGTTCAGACCGGTGTGGAAATGGCACACAAGCAGCAGAGTGTGAGGGGCCTCTGAAGACCTGCTCGGCTCAGTCTCTGTGAAATGGGGACCCCACAGCCACCTCCACAGACTAAAATGAGGTACAGGTAGGCAACATTTCCAAGTATTAAACAGCAAAGGACAAACAGCAGCCTCCCCAGCCCAGGAAACTTCTCAAAGGCTGCGCAATGGAAGCAGGACCCGGGAGCGAGCACGGGCTGATGCTCATGTCCAGGCGCCGGCGTGAGCCCTGCAGGAAACAAGGCTCAATGCTAACCCTGGAGCCACCCCAGCCGGAAGAGCGGGCTACCGCAGTGCTTCCCGTGGCCGGGGCTCCTTTGCTGGGCCCATGCGCTCTGAGGTTGTGGCCCCTGGGTGCTGAGCTGCCCGCCTCATCCCTCGCTCCAGCCTCTGCCTGACCCTCGGGCACAGCCTGGTGGAGGCACCATAGTGCAGCTGGAGACACGGCTGGTCCCGGAGCCAGCGGTGTCTCCTAGTCCCGAGCTCCGGGGAGGAGTTGTGCCCTTTCAACATGCGGTAGAAGACTGCATTTAAGTTACTTGTATTTCACAAATTTCCCAAACTGTAAGATAGAGCGAGAAAGCAGGAACAACCTTGCCGCTTTCTAAAGAAACAAGATATGAAAAGAGAGCTCTCGTAAAGGCAGAGATGGAAAAAAGGTTAGGAAATAAAGGGACTGCCCCACAGCAGCATGCTCTTCTGCCCCAGTGGCAAAGGCCTCGGACCCTGGAAAATGTACGCCACAGAATGTGTGCAAAGCTGCTGAGTGTTGGCTGCTACGGGAACGGCCACATGCTAAACTTTACAGAAATGGAGGTGAGAGATGGAGCACCAGGGGACCCCACCAGCTTCCCCAAGACGAGCCTCCTCCCATCCCCACAGAAGGTGTTCTGTTCCTGCTGCTGAGTCCACAGCTTCCACCAAGCGTTAATTTCTCCTGCACCGCTCTTCTGAACCTCGGCAGACTCTGCCTTCCCCAGCACGGCTGGACGCCCGCCTCAGGCTGGCCTGCTGCTCTGGGACCCAGGCAAGTTTCTGTTCTTTTCTGTTTCCAGCTTCCCCAGAAAGGGGGGTGGTGCAACAGGACGTTCAGTCACGGATAGCAAAGGACAACAGAGACACAGCAGCGACAGGAGGAGTGGGACGAGGAGGCCTCCGTGGCAGTGGGGAGGGCCTACCTTCTTTTTGATGCCGTCCTGAATCACCGTGGTCCGATACAGCCTCAGGAGGCCTTCCTCGGACAAGTTCCGCACCAGGCGGATGATGGACTTCTTGCAGCACTTGGTAGACACGCCCTCCTGCTTCTCCTGATCCATGATCATCTTCTGAATCCTGCAACACCACGAGACCAGCATTCACATTCCCGTCTCACCACGAAAGACCTTTGTCAACAAGCCAACAGAGACAGAACTCGGAAAGAGCGAACGGGGAAGGCTGGGGTCAGCGCTCTATGGCGAGCTGGTGGAAATGCCACCACCACAGCCGCTTGGGTGCAGAGCCTCTCACCAGCAAGCCGAGCAGCCGTGTGACCCGCAGCAGTGGTGGCAGAGACGGAGTGCTGCGACGGTGGCGTGTCTCCATCACTAGGCCTACAAGCTAACCAACACCCAGCCAAGGGATGTCCAGTTCACAGTGCACTCCCACACGTAAGGCCCTCTTTGAATGCCGATATACAGTATCTCACTCTACCCACCAGTGACATTTCTAGGTCACAGATCACAGAATGGCAGAGCCAAAATGGACGTTCAGAACCCGCAGCCAACCCCCCACTGGAGAAGACGGGACCAAGTGATGGCCTGCATGCAGATGGCCCCTGGTCAGAGTGCGGAACCCTTGTCCGGGGCTGGGTCCAGGCCCCTTCCCACCGAGTGGCGCTCCTGTGGCTGCCTCCGGGCCTTGCTGATGAGTCCAGGCAGTGGTGGCAGAAAGGTCGCCAGCACCAGAGAGACCTGACACCAGCTCTAGTTGTGTCCCTCTGGTTCATTCTTTCATCAAAGTTTTCGTGTGCACAGACGGCCCCAGGGCAAGCTACTGAGAACGTTCACAAGTGGTGCCCGCACCTGCCCGAGACTCCTGCCTTCCCTTCCCAGCAAGCAGGGAAGGAGAAAGGTCCCATGACGTCTTCTTCCTGCTCCACCCTTCTCTCCCTGTCTAGCGCAGACATTCTTCAGTGTCTGCACTTCTCAACAGTGAGGACCCACTCTAGAGGCCACGTGGCCCTTTCTGTGGCAGGCGTGCACCAGCTTACGTGAACAGGCTCTCAATCAGGCGAAGGTTGGTGACGGCTTCTATGATCAGATTCCGGCGTTTCAGCAGTCGGTAGGTCTTGTGGGGCTTGTCGGGGCCTGTGCCATGCTTCCCGGCCTTCTGGGAGCTGCCGCTCTCCTGGAGGACGACACGGGGAGGGGATCAGCAGGGCTGGGCAGGCACCACCCCTGCAGCTGCAGGACACTCTCCCATCTCCTGTCTCATCTCTTAGAAAGGGAACCCAGGCCTGGGGGGTGAGGACCCACCCAACCTCCACAGGACAGGGCTTCTGACTCCAAACCAAAGAACCCTGAGAACCAGCGACAGGCTCTGGAGTTCAGAAACAGTGAACTGTGATGACAGGGAAGGAAAGCTGCAGGGAAGGGGTGGCTGTGAACTTGTATGTCTGCCTCTGGGTCAGCTATGAGAAAGCCCAAGGGCAGGAAACCTGAGCTCCGGCGCATTCCTTACAAATCACCAGGACAAATCTGCTCCAGGCAGCAGCAGCCCAGTCACCTCCTGGCTAAGCGTGGTGCCTGCAGGACTGACACCAAGCCTAGAGGTGCTGGGCAGAAGGTTCCCTGAGTGAACTGTGATGACAGGGAAGGAAAGCTGCAGGGAAGGGGTGGCTGTGAACTTGTATGTCTGCCTCTGGGTCAGCTATGAGAAAGCCCAAGGGCAGGAAACCTGAGCTCCGGCGCATTCCTTACAAATCACCAGGACAAATCTGCTCCAGGCAGCAGCAGCCCAGTCACCTCCTGGCTAAGCGTGGTGCCTGCAGGACTGACACCAAGCCTAGAGGTGCTGGGCAGGTGCTGGCCCAGCTCACACCCCGCCCACGGTGGGCTTCGGGCCAGGTCCAGCTCTTTCACAGCGAGGAAGGGCTGGAGGGGAAGACTCCACAAAGCAGGAGACTCCCGGAATAAACCGCTGCTCTGCACACTGGCCAGGCAGCAGCCAAGACTGCCCCTTTCAGAAGGCGGCCAACGGGGACACAAAGCCGCCGGCTCTCTGGGAGTGGACTTCCATCAGCAAGAGAAAGAGCTAAGCAAGGACAGAGCTCCAGGGATGCCAAGCCCTGCAGGCAGCGCACGCTGGGCGCGAGGCAGGCAGTAAAAGCCCAGTGGAGCATCAGGGTCCGCGGCTGGCAGGTGCGCGGCAGCACAAACCACGCCTGACAGGGAGAAGGTGTTCAACACAGGAGAGGGCTCGAAGGGTCTAGAAACGCCCACGGTGCCAGCCCTTCTGCTACAGACACTCACTGAAGCCAGGCCCTGCTCCAGGAGAGCAGACCGAGGGAGGTGAGAGTGGCCAATGACTCCGCACGCCCGCTCCTCTCTGCCCTGCGCCCCAGGGCAGGGGTTTAGCTGCCAGGGTCATGAGGCTGGAGCCAAAGAGCAGAGCAGTGGGAGCACCAACAGCTGCCCAGTCACAAGGCCGCCCCACGCCAGCGCCTCCACTGCCTCCACAGCCCTGCGGCTTCTGAAGCACCTTCAAGTGAGAGAAGTCATGGCACAGGGGAACTGAAACGTGAGGGGAGACGTGCCTGCCTCTGCCTCCTGCCTACACTGATGAAAAAGTGTTCGTTTGACCCTGCTGTGTGTCAACACCTTGCCCTTTGCCAGTGTTTGGACAGAACGTATTGATTCGGTTTCAGTTTCTTCTATTTCATGATTACCTTATGTTTATGGCAAACGATACTGGCTTCTCAACCTTGGCAGTGCTGACACACTAAGCTGGATGATAAGCTGTTGTGAGGATATTTAACAGCATCCTGGGGCTGGGGATGCAACTCACTGGTGCCGCACTTGCCTAGCAGGTGAGGCCCTGGGTTTGATCCCCAGCACACAAGAAAAAGGAAAAATGTGACACATACCTGTAATCCCAGCTGCTCAGGAGGCTGAAGCAAGAGGATGGCCTGAGGCCAATAGCTCAAGGCCAGCCTGGCCAACAGAGTGAGACCTTGTCTCAAAACAGCAATAAGCAGCAGAATCTTGGCCTCTCCCTGCTCGGAGTAGGAGTGCCCCCGCCCTAAGCTGTGACAGCCACCAGTATCTCCAGACACAGCTGCACTGCCCAATGTCCTCTACAGGGCAACACTGGCCCAGGACAATCTAAACAGCCGCAGGGGAAGAGAGCAAGCTATGGGGTAAACAACAATGCAAGGGGTTTCTGCCCAGAGTGCAGGCAGCACGAAGGGGGCACGTGAACAAACGCCAGACCGCTCCGTGTGGAGCCCTGGCCACTGCGAGTGGCACTCACTGTCGCAGGCTCTGGTGCCGACCTTGCGATCCCCAAGCAGAGACAAGGTGACACCACCTGCCGGAGGCCCCCACTGACCTTGGGGTTGTCCAGCCGCACCTCCTCGATCATGGCTATGTCGCCACTGGAGCTCTCCACGCAGTGGGAGCCGAAGGACACGTTGAAGTCTGAGGAGCCGCTGGTGTCCAAGTTGTCCCTGCTCCCCGAGCTCCGGGAGGCTCGCTCCTCAGCAGCCCCTGGGGAGGAAGGCAGCTGCCTCTTCAAGGGGTGAAGGTTGAGGAGTTTCCACCCACCTGTGAGCACAGGCACGGAGCCGTGAGAGGGAGGAGAGGGCCAGCCATGGGGCCACGGGGGCCACAGGGACCGAGGACCTGCCAGAACCCTAGACAGCCCCGGCTCCCTGCCCAGAGAGCAGCTCAGGCCTCCTCCGGCAGGCCGGGCACCAGCTCTGCAGACTGTACCTCAGGCCCCGGCCTCCACGGGTTTTCGGTATTTTTGGTATTCTATAATTAACGCTGAGGGTTTCTGAGTGGACGCTGGAGGGAAGAGGACGGGGGAGCTCACGGAGTGTCCTCCAGTAGGAGTTCAAACCAAACGCCTGCCAAGGACCGCCCTGCGAGCAGCTGGAGACAGCACACGACCCTCCCGTCCCCACGTCAGCCCTGTGACGCCCTTGGCGTCGCCCGCTGCCTACCCTTGGTTGGGGTGGAGTGAGGAGGCTGCACTCCAGGTCTGAACTCTGCCGAAGGTCGCGTGTGGGCCTGGGCTCCCTGGGGCCTGCGCTTGCCGCCCCTGCTGCCCTCCTCCTCGCTGTCTGACTCGGAGAGAAAGGCGTCCTCGCCTTCGGGCAGCAGCGGCTCCTCGGACATGGAGGCCAGGCTCACGGTGGTCAGCAGCTCGCCCCGGGCCTTCTCGCGGGCATACTGCCGGCTCAGGTCGCTCTCCTCGGCAAACACACACGAGATGTACTTGGTGGTCCGCTGCCGGCCTTCGTCCTCCATGAAGCCCTGGGGGTGAGAGGGGCTCGGCGTGGGCACGGGGCGGCCGCCTGCCTACAGGATTGGCTTTCGCCCTCCCCACGCCTCCTGCCTCAGTCTCCCCGGCGGCGGACGGAGGGCTGTCAGGACCTGCCCTCCTGCTTCTGTGTCACCTCCACGCCCGGCACAGGGCTCCCAACAATGGTCACCAAGCAGCTGGGCCTGCTACACGCCAGCCAGGCCAGCGGGGCTCCGGCTCCCCTCACCACTGCTAGTCGGGACAAGGAGGGCTCTTCCTAGAGCCCCAGAGAAGAGGAAGAGCAATACCTTCTCTCTCCACGCTCCCCGTGAGGCTGCCGTCCTCCTGCCTCTGGCAGCATCCAAAAGGCAGGAGAGAAGAGGGTGGGGTGTTCCCCAGGCCTCGATATGGGACCGGTGCCTATGTGCCACCACTGGACACTACAAAACCTCCGGGATGTGGGCCACAGGGAGGCCCTAGGCACGGGGCGTGCCCACACAGGGCGAGGTGCAGGTCATTCTCTCCCTGTCCTGGCTCCCGAGGCAGCAGTCTGTGCCCCTCGCACCCGCAGCAGTGCGCTACCTGATCAAGGTTGTCTGGAACCACCAGAACCATGAGCCGGGGTACACCTTTTCTCTTTAGAAAACTTAACTGCCTCAGGTGTTTCATTATAGCTACACAGTGCTGACTAACATAGGCATCAAGGTGCTGAGATGCACGTCCAACATGCAGTTAGCTGACTGGATGTCCTAGGCCCCAGGCAAGTCGCAGAAAGGAGGGAGGGCAGGTGGACAGACACCAGCCAGCTCTGGCTGCCTGTTCCTGCATAAGAGCGAGCCCGTGTGGCCTTGCTTCACTGAGAACTCCTTCAGTGTTTAAAAAAATGGAAACAAACAGAAGCCACAGGGAGGGGAACATGGCATGGTGGACACAGATGGCGGGGCTCCCACGACCCGCTTCGTAATCACTGTGCACACACCCGAGGGGGAGCTGCAGGAAGTCTCAGGCGTTACCTTGACAACCTTGAACCTCTGAAGAAGCCGACACAGCATTCTTGCTTCCAGCTTCCCCACGTTCATGGCCACTCGGATTTCAGCTTGGGAAATTCCTTTTGTGCCTCTGCGCTCAACTGTGAGAAAGACCCTGTGAGCCACAGCCCTGCACTCGCTGCCACCAGGACCCCAGGCAGCACAGGCTGCCGCCACCCTCTTCCTCCTGAGACGCTGGACAAGGACACCCACAGCTCACGTGGCCCGGCTCCCCTGCACTACAGCACGGAAGGGAAAGCCATCAGTGGCTGATCTTTAAGTTCTGCGCTCACCATTTTTACTTAGCAAGTTAGCACTTTCTCGTGAATCAACTTTTTCAGACAAATGAACTTGACCTTTTCAAAAAGCACCAAAATAACTTAAAAATAATTTTACAATTATATTTTCCAGTACTAGGGTTTGAACCGAGGACCCTCACACTGAGCCCATCCCAGCCCTCCCTTTATTCTGAGACAGTGTCTAAGGCAAAAGTGCCCAGTCTGGGTTCAAACTTGCGATCCTCTTGCCTCAGCTTCCTACAGTGCTGGATGACAGGTGTGAGCCCCACATTCAGCTCTGAGATCTATTTAATGTGTGTGCTTCAGATCCCGGTCTTTTGCAGTTGACACCGGGGACTACAGTCGCCCCGCAAGCAGGGACAGGGAAGAAACAGCACCACTGAGCCTGACGGTGAGGGCCTTGCTGAGCATGGGCCCTGTAAGTGGCGCTGGGCAGCGGCCGTCTCTTGGTGCTGTTGTCGTCTCTGCCTCGACGACACCGTCTAAGTTCCTTCTCTAATCTGGGACTGAGCACTCTAGGAAGGAGCCTGGCTGGGGTGGGAGGCGGCAGGGGTCCCCACAGTGGGGCAGCTGTGGTAGCAAAGCTCTTGGACGCCTCAGAAATATTTTCTCTTTTATTTCCTAATACATCCACAGAGAGGAGGCTGCCAGGAAAAATCAATCAGGAAAAAGAGGTTGCTGTGTCACACAGGTATAAAAATAAATGGCTGAATAAAAAGGGACGACTGGGAGGCTTCCTAAGTTGGACCAGCAACACCCCAAAAGCAGAGACCGAAGGGCTGGGGCAAGCTGTTCCCAGACCGTGCCTTGGAACCCCTCAGTGTCAAGACCATCACCATCTCCAGAAGACTGGCTGACTCGCCAGCAGATTACGAGGCCTCCTGCGGCCACTTTGCCTCTGCTCTGTCCTCCACACAGGCACCTGTGGCCATGCTGCCTACGGCCCTGGGTCACAGCTGTCCCGGAGATTTGGGGGTCCAGGGCAGTGAGAAACGGGAGGAAGTCTCCTGCCCCTTCATTAGAGGACCCAGCCTCGGCGACCCCAGGCATTCCTACGAGGAGTGGCTCGTAAACCCTGTGCTGTGGCTGGGACCCGACACTTTGGTATGTCAGGCGTGGTGGAGGCATCTGGGAGGGGTGTGGAGGCCTCCTGCACAGATTAGGGCCCTCCCTCAGGAGCAGTCTCCTGTTCTCGCGAGACTCGAGAGAACAGGAGACTGCTAAAGCCAGACGACCAACCCTTGAAGCTCCGCCTCCCAGACACCTCCTGCTTTTCTTCCATGTGCAGAGCAGCACGAAGCTGGGCAGACACAGCGCCCAACCTGAACCCCAGCCTCCTGAACTATATAAGCCAAAAGAAACTCTTTTCTTTATAAATTACCTCATCTTGGGCACTCTGTTACAGCACCAGGAAACAAAGACCATAGATCTGTGTGTGGCTTCGATGTGCTAGGCACTGTTCTAGATACCCTGAAAACGTGCTGGTGTGGGTATCAACCCTGTGTGACGGTTAATTTAGGTATCAGCCTGGCTGGCTGGATGCAGGTCACCTAGGTACCTGGGGAAGTGTTAGAAGCGTCTGTGAGGTCATTTCTGGAGAAGCCTGGGCTGTGAGCTGGTGGGTTGTGTGGGGAAGACCCGCCCCAGCTGGGGGCCAGAGAGAGCAAAGGGCAGAGGAGAGCTACAGCCTTCCTTCCTCTCTGCTCCGGGCACCAACCTCCACTACCCCCGAACCCGTCCCCTAATGGATTCCCTCCCCACGTTTTCTTACACAGCCTATCGGTGCTGTGTCTCCGAAGGGCCCTGACCCAGCTGTCCCACCTCACAGACTCGTAGTCACTCAGAGGAGGGGCAGCAAGGCCTCTAACTGGAAGCCGAGCCCACAGCCTGACCCGACCCTCTGTGGGACACGTCTGGCAGCAGAGCGCGGCTCGGCCTGGGGGGGCCCGACTCACTGAGGTCATAGGTCTGCGTGAGCATGTCCCGCTCGTACACGATGTCCACGGGGAGCAGGGCCTTGGAGATGACCTCCTCCTCCTCGTCGTCGTCGTCGTGGTCATCTTCGACCTTCTTCTTGAACTCCTTCAGCAGCTTGAGGCACCGGACCATGACGTCCGTCCCTGGGAACAGGGGTGCACTGGTCAGCGGGGAGGGGACCAGTGCCTGGACGGTCACAGGGGCCGAGGAAGGTCACCCCGCCAGTGTTTGCAGAGTTCAAAGCTGCGTGTCTCAGGGCACTAGACCAGGACATTGGTTTCATCGATTATTTCTCAGAAATAATAGAATTAGAGAATTTATGAATACAGCAATGCAAAAGAAGGACCCTTGAGGTGCCCCGATAGTCCTACCAGCGCCCTGCTCTAGGACAAGGGTGCACCTGTCCTTGCATGTCTTCCTGGCACCCCTCGGGCCACACGCAGGAGACAGGTAAGCGGACTTTGCTGCAAAAATAAAAGGCAACTTCTTCCTTGTCAATGGATACCTGCTGGGGTGTGGCAGCAAGCGATCGAGCCCCGTGTGCCCGGGAGAGCCTGCCGAGAGAAGGCCCCAGGACTCTGAGTGCGGGGAATCAGGCCACGGAAAGAACTCAAAATGAGCAAAGGCCACCAAGACCAACTGCTCCATTACACCACTTCTGATGGCGCCGAGGAATGATATAAAATGATGAGGCCTTGTGAACATAGGAGCAGCAAGGGACCGAGCGGCGGTTTAGCAAGAAGCCGGCACCCTCCACGGACGGGCATCCACAACTCTGCGATTCACCAAAGTCTGAGGCCGGAAAAGAATTGCACACCTGGGCCGTGGATCAGGATGGAACAAGAGAGGGGCGGGGACAAGGACGAACACCCTGCCGTTTGCCGTGTTGTCCCTAGGTCCGAGCAGGCACTTCAGGGCAGGGCCTGAGAAGCAGAGGAGCCAAACCACCACCCACAACTGCCTCAGGAAGGGGCAGGCTGAGGTGCCCTGCAACCCACGGCAGTGCTGGACGCAGAGCAACGGCCGTGCAAGGGCCCTCATCTTAATCCCAACACTGACAGTGGCGCCTCAACCGTGGGACCTACTGGATGAGGCTGCCCTGGACCAACAGGGTGGCCCCAGGCAGTGGCTGGTGGTCCCTACAAAAGCCAGGCAGGGGTCAGAGACGGTGAAGGGTGGAGAGGACCATGAGCCAAGCAACGCCAGTGGCTTCTGGAAACTGGAAAAGGCCAGGAACAGAGTCTCCCCCCAGCCTCCAGAGGGGACACAGGCCGGGAGACAGCTTGATGTGGGCCCAATAAGGCCCACTTCAGATGCCAGGTCTACAGTCACTGGTTACAGGAGAACTAGAGGATGGGGCCCTGCCCGCTGCTGCAGCAGAACCCCTGCTCTGGAACCGGAGGCCAACTCCACACCCTGGGCTGGGCCAAGCTGCCTCTGCCCTGAGGCTTCCCAGAGTGAAGCGTGCTTCTCACAGCGTGGGGAAGGGGAGGTGTTTCTGTGCTGTCGGGAAAGAGGCAGACACAGCCTGAGCAGATAAGGCAGCACACTTCTCCCTTGTGACTGGGCTGCATGGTGTAGCTGGCGTCACAATGGAGAAATAGGCTCTGCACTGTGGGGCAGGCAGAGAGAGCCTCAGGCCTGTCCTGCCCACTTGCTGTCACTCCTGGGCTGATGGTGCCCAGCATCTCACAGTCCCCGAGGGTCGCCCCGGGAGCCAGGCCAGCGTGGGCATCGCCTGAGACGAGAGTCAGTCCCACACGTCTGCCATGTCTCCACCTGCTGCTTGGGTCCTGGGCACTCCAGCAGGCACGCTGCTCCAGAGCTGGTGCCGCCCCTGCTGTGAGCCTTCAGGGCTGTGGGGCACTGTGGGGAACAAGGCAGCGAGGATGGACAGGACAGGAGGGAGCTGGGATCAGCTTCTCCAGCCCTCACACCTCTCCCACCATTCTAGCATTTACCCAGCTCCAGAACTCCAATTTTTAGGGGCTGGGGCTAGGCCTCCGTGGTAGCACACTTGCTTGGTATGCACAGGCCTCAAGCCCATTGCTGCAAAGAATTTTGGTTTTTATTACTGAAACTCTTTCCATGTCTTCCGCCTTCTTAAGGCGCCTGTTCCAGATGACAAGCTGCTAACGTCAAAAGGAAAAGGGGGAGGGAGGCGCCGGAACAGACACACACACCAGGGTGAGTGGGGGCTGCCTCCCTTCACACAGCTGCCACCTGCAGCACCCAACCACTGCCATGGCAACCACAGCTCTCTGGCCACAGGTCATGCTCTCCGTGGACAAAGGCCAGAGAAGCAGAGCCAGCCAGGCAAGTGCACACACTCGCCAGCTGACAACCCCGTGTGCTGTACATGTGAGGAGGCTTGGGATCGCTGAAGATTTGGTGTACCATGGGCAGCAGCTCACCACAGAGGAACCCCCAGATCTCCAGGGCAGAGGTGCACGGAGACAGAACTTAGGCACTCTAAGGACCCGGGAAGGAAGGAGGATGAGCACCTGAGAAGCCAGGCCTCTGGAGGCACTTTCAGAAGTGCTTTCCTTCAATCACCACAAGCTAGCACAGTATTGCCTTTTTAAGAAAGAGGAAACTAAGGACTGGGGATGTAGCTCAGTGGTTCCGCCAGCTGCTTTGCAAGCACAAGGGCCCAAGTTTGATCCCGGTACCAAACCAAACAAAACAAAGGACGAGGAAACTAGCCAGGCACAGTAGTGCATGTCTGCATGTCACCTCAGCTACTTGAGAGGCTGAGGCAGGATCATGCATTAGAGGCCAATAAGACTCAGTCTCAAAACAGTGCAGTATTCTGAAGGGATGGAGACGTAGCGCCATGGTGGGGTGCCCCTGCCTTCGACCCTGAGGCCCAAGCAATCAATCAGTCAAAGAAAGAAGAGAAGGAAAGGGGAAGAAAAAGGAAGAGAAAAAGTCAAGAAAGGAAACAGGCCCAGCGGGATCATGTGATCTAACTGATCTCTCTATACCAGGCCACATGGCAGGGGCTATCAGATAGTGCATTCACCGTACAGGAAAACTCAGTGCGGCTGTGAAGTGGAAACAATGGCCTGTTCTTCACATCCCAAAGGAAACCCCTCTGGCTTCCTAGCAGAGCCGTGCTATTAACTGTGATCAACAAGGGAGGAACAAAGGACAGAACACAGGAGCAGGGGCAGATCTCTGCAGGTGAGTAGCTGCTAGAGAGGCAGGCAAGCAGTGCCCCCAGCACACGCTCATGCACGTGCACACACACATGCACACACACACAACTGGACCCTGAGGAGAAGGTGGTCTGTGGCGGGAGGCACTCAGGGTCTTGGGAACAGCCGGGACAACTGGAGGAAGAGGAAAGGCCTGCAGAAAAGCACAGGCAACGGCTGCACCTGGAAGCCAGGCCGGGCAGAAGCAGTGGAGGGAGAGGGAGGGTGGTACAGGTTACGAGCTTGGCCCGCCTGCGAACTTGCCTGCCCGCTCACTGCGGCACCCAGGTAAGGGCCATATCCTCTCAGTGCCCCAGGCACCTCAGGGCATTGCCTAGCATGCAAACAGTGCTCAGTAAATGCCTGCTCCTGCTTTTATCTTTATTGTTATTACTACAACTTGGGAAAAACACACTTTTGAGGATCACCTATCATACCCAGTGACCTGGAATGAAAGAAGTGTCACCAGATTGCTTGGGGCCCTTAATTTAACTTGATTCCATAAACATTTGTTTTGTGCCAGGGCCAGAAGAAACAGATGAATGAGAGCTGAGCATGCTGGCACACACCTGTACTCCCAGCACTCAGGAGACTGAAGCAGGAGGATCGCTGTGAGTTCAAGACCAGCCTGGGCTACATAGTGAGTTCCAGGTCAGTCTCAACTACATAGTGAGACCCTGTCTCAAAAAAAAAAGAAACAGATGAATGAGACAAGCTTCCTGTCCCTGCAAAATGCTGTAAGGGAGAGGCTGGGCAGAGCGGGCAGGGCAAAGGCCTGGGGCTCACACCAGCCTGGCTCCTCTGCAGGAAACCATTCCTCCGAGCTTCCAGTTCCTGGCTGATGATGCCGGACTGATGTCAGGGTGTCCACTGTGGGCTGGCAAGAACGGAGCGAGTCCATACACACGGGCGCCCGGCACACACCCAGGGCCCGCTCCCTGGAAGGATGACAGCAGGATGGCTGTGCACCCCGAGGAATACACAACAGCTTCTGGGCTCCGCTTCCCTGGCACAGGGGTTAAAAATGTGGCAGGAAGGCTGGGACCACACAGCAAGAGGCAAGCCCAGGCTAAGGCTTTTCTTACTAACCGCACAAAGCAAATAATGGTATTGACAATAAAACACACGGGAGCTGACAAGTTCTGGAAACTGTATGAACAGTCTCGGTCTACAGTCTCGTCAACACTACTCAGTACAAACGTCATCTCCCCAAAACACCTGGGCTGAGTTACAGACATGATTAGGTCCCCCAAGTCCTAAATGTAATGTGACCCACAGAAGGGAAGGGTTGGATGCGAACAGGAGGGTGCTGAGCACAATGACCGCCCAGGGCCCCCGAGGCAGGTGGTGCCTGAGGTAACATCCCCGCACCATCGGTGACTGCTGCTGACAGCCATGTGCTCCTGAGTTCTGCCCTCACCCCCAGTCCCTGCCAGCAGGGACGGCAGTCTCTTTTCCTGCCTACCCATAAGGTCAGCCGGCCACACCTTAGAAAGGGATGCTCCCCAGCACACGACTGATCCGCAGCCAGCTGCCACTGCCGGCCCTGCCTGGCTCTCCCCGCCCCCAGTCCTGTGCTCTGGCCACCAGTGCACTCTCCAGAGCATAGCGTGGGCGGACACGAGCTCCTACTGGGCGGGGTGGTGGCGCCCACGCCTGTGGAGCAGAGTGAGGCCAGAGGAGGGAAAGGGTCCCTCAGATAAGGCGGCCTCTGCCCTGTGTGGTGATGCGAGGCCCAGGGGGTCCACTGTGAATCTGGCCCCTCTGCTAAGTTCTCGGAATAGTTCTCACTGTTCAAATGTTGTTTATCTTAATTATTAATTATGATCATTTTCACTCTTTAAGCTAGTGACCTTTAATTACTTTGCTGCTTTTAACTTAAAAGAAATCTTGCTGATTTCTGTTTTCATTTTCCCCACACACACCACTACTTTTCTAGGTTT